CTGCTAAAAACAGCGCCTTCTAAATAATGACGTTATGGCTGATATTTTGAAATTGGGAGTCTGCTGACAAATGATTCAGAATGTAGGAACAATTGAAAACGGAGACCAGCTTTCCTTACCAGGATGTTTGGGGTGACTCGTGAATGCTTGGGAAGGAATTTAAGAATAAATAAGTCAGAGTCCTCTCCAAGTTTTCCTTTTTTCTCCTCTGGTCCACCCCCCCCACCTTGCTCACTTAAGAAACAAACCCTGTCACCCTGTCATGACATGGTGACTCAGTTTCCCCAAAAATGAGATAGACAGGGTCTGCCTGTGACTTTGATGCCCCTGCACTTGGCTGTGATCGGCCTACCTAGAGTTTTAAAATGGAGGACTATTAGGATTAAAATCTGGATTTCTCGCTTCTCTTGAAAATTCAAAAACTCTTTCTTGCCCTGAGTTCGCTTTCTTGGTGTGAGCAGTCAGCATCTGCCCCTTTGCATGGAAGCCTGTGTGTTCCAGTTTGCTGCAGTCTCCACTCCTTCTAATTCCATGCAAGTCACTTCAATTTAAATTGCTTGAGTTGTCTGGGCTGTGGCATCAGCATCATCTGTTAAGATTTGTTAACATGCCAATCGCTGGGCCCCACCAATCTTCTGGAAGGAAGAGTTGTCAATTCCTGATGTACATATGTATGGATGTGAGTGTGCATATTTTTACATATATGTGAATGTGTATACATGTGTGCATATATTATACACACATATAATATATACATATCAGCATGGACTTAGAGGTATTTATTTCATTCTTTGGGTTATAATCCAATACTACTGTGATTTCTTCTCTTGCTTAAGACGTCTCAACTTAGGGCACTGGGAACTCTTTCAGACTGGCTTCAATGCCTTTTCAGTAAATCTCTCCCCACCTCACCCCAGCCTTTTTTTTTTTTTTTTTTAAAGCACTTCCTTTAGCACTTTTTGGTACCACAGGTGCCCCCAGTTTATCTTATATTTTCTGTACCCCAACCTGGAATTAGCTAGTTTTCTAAGGATCCCTGATTTCTTTTATTGGAGAAAGGTATTTAGAAACCAAGGCCTGGGTGCTAGGTGTGCTCATTGCTAGTGGGCTGACATTGCCCCTAGCCCCTCTCAATGGACAGGCCTAGGAAATATATGTAGGGATGCTAACTCAGGCATATACGCACATGGATTTATTTCTGTATTTATCTGTGAAAAAATATATATAGTGCGTGCGCGCACAGTCCATATGGATACCTTCAACTCCAACCCATTAACCATAGGATTCATCCTAGCCTTGGGGATATCAGATTTTTAATCTTTGCATGGCTTTTCTATGTTAACAGTGGCTCAAGAACAGTGGGGGGAAAGGAGTATTTTATAGATATTGCTAAAAAACAACAGTAAAAAACTAACCCCAAGCTCTGCATAATAAAAATGTCAGCATAGCCCCTTACTTAATATTCTTCAGCCCTTTTTGCAGTCTACAATTTGGAACATACAACCTCACTGTTCCTGAAGGTGGATAGACGTGCCTTACTTCCCTTCTTATACAAACGCAGTTTGTCTCCAGCCCTACGGAACAATGCCTCTTGCAACGCTTAGCTGGCACTTGTGGATTCTAAATATAAGCCAAGATGCTTCTCGAAGATTAGAATCAGAACTTTGCTTTACATGTGAAATCTTATTTTGAATTCAGGTACACAATTACTCACTCAGAGACTTAATTATACTGCCTTAGGATAGTATTACAATAGTTTTAATTATTTTTTGGGGGGTTACAAAAGTAACCTTTTGTTTGGTTAGGAAGGTGAAGTGACTATAGTCTTTTCATGAACTTAAAAAACAAATTAACCATCAGCTGTGAAGTTTATCTGTGGTTCCTTCATGTTTATTCAAGAAGCAGCCATACTTGGATGGGCTGCTCCTTCCTCTCGTTATACTGAATGTAAATCTTGTGCTGCTTGGATGTGTCTTTATAAACTGTGTAGAGAACTGGAAAGAGAGTCTAACCAAGATGGTTCATGGGCCGCTGGAGGTGTGGCTCAGTGGTTTGGAAAACATTCTGGGTTTTAAACAGGAACACCTATAATTATGGAGGCGTCATCCCTTCCATAAAAAAGAAAACAAAACAAAGAAAGCAAAGCCTTTCTACTAACAAGGTGTAGTCATAGCATGTGTTCAGCCTTCCCAAAACCTGTCTGGCATTTGTTTCTGGTCTGGTGGGGAATATCTTCCATCTTTCCCTGAGCACTCATCAAACAATACAAAGATAAACAATTGGAGGGCAATTAGCAGTCTCTTTGGGGTAACAGGAGAGAGAAGTCACCCTGCTATTAATTTCAAAGGAATTAATCATGGTTTACATATGTGATTCAGTGGCTTAACTTTGCAAGTGGTTGAAAAACAAGGAATCAACGAAGTTTACAAAAGACACTAGTTTGGAGAACCAGGTTTTGTAGACAACTCTAAAGAACTATCCGTTGAGTATTCTAAGGCCGTAAAAGTTGAGATGGTGCCTCGTAGGAGACTTGCATATGTGTGAGACTCAACTAGGTAGAGTTGTTAAAACGCAGATCTTGATCCAGTAGGTGTAGGGAGGGGGCTCAGATTCTGCATTTTTAATATGCTGTCAGGTGGTGCTCATGGTACAGATCGGCCCATCTCATCTTGCACAGCAAGGCTGTAGATTGTCCTGGTGCCTGTGGTGAGGTAGGATTAAGCCCCTCAAACTCCCTCTATATACCTTGAAATTCCCAACATGCCACACAGTGAACGTCCTGGGGTTAGGGGACTAGAATAGCTTTTTGGAGTAGAGGTACTTGGGCCAAATACTTTACTGTACATTTTAGTTTCTAGGGATTACATTGGGACCCATAGGGCAAAGAGCTATACTATACAGTATAATTAGTATAATATAGTTAACAGCAACCTCTTTTCACAAGGACTAATTTTAAAAAAACCTAAAAATATTTGCAGGCCATGTTTATTGATGTTTATAGAACTGTGCCCTTGAAAGAAAAGCAGGAAAAGCAATCACTAAGTCCACTCTCTGAGATTAAAACCTCAGAAAATGCAGTATTGTCTAATTTTGATGCCGACCTTCTGAACAAATTTCGTTGTTGGGGAAACCCCGCTTTAAACAGAGGTCTTCACCATTCCTTGACTACCTTTTCAAGCCACACAAATTATTAAATGTGCTTGGTCTCAGAGTGTCTAGTAAGACTGTATACTTTAAAACAAGACATCGTCCGTTGATTTCTGGTGTGGACATTTAGTGACATCGGAACAGAGGACATACTTCTCATGCCTCTTACTGCAAAACACACCATTTTCATTTGCCATACTTCTCTTCTAGGAAGGAAACTTGGAGTGTAAGCATTCATTTTAAGAGTCTGACCGCTTCTACTAACCTCTCCCTTCCCCCTACTCTCCATCTCTCCCACCAACCCTCCCCTACTTTCTTCACTGTGGTTACCCTCATCTGGATGTCTGCCAGACCTGGGGGAGAGGAGAAGTGAGTAGCGGGTTGAATTTGATCTCTACCCTCCATAGCCTCAGGTTCTCCCCTGTCTGTGAAGGGGTGTGTAGGTTGGCTGTTTCTGAGAAGCGAGGCAGGCTGCATAATATCTCAGGATGGGTGGCATGCCACTATTGTGAAGTGGGAAGTGTAAGATGAGAAATTCCTTAAGGTGTCCAATCAGGACACCTGGACTCTGATCCTTGTCTGTCTACTAACCAGTTGTTTGACCTTGAAGAATGATTTAACCTCTGTGGGCCTCAGTCTCCTAATCTGTAATTTGAAATACTTGGTTATGCCTGTTTCTCAAAGTGTAGGAGGCTTGCCACTGGAATAGCAATAGATAACACTGAATCACATCATGAGAACTATACTCCTTTTGCAATCAATTTCAATTGTTAACAGCTTTTCAAAAAAAACCACAGAGATGTTAAAATTCTCTGCTGACCCTCATGTCATTAACCCTTTTGGCATTTGGCACTTTCCCTTAAAAAAAATTGGTTGTAATTTGTTTGTTTGTTTTGCCCCTCTCCCTTTCTAACAAAGGAGTCGATAACTGTTTTCACTGTGATTGATTTTAATTTGTGGAGGGCGATACTGAGTTCCCATTTAAAAAAGTAATAGAGAAAAAAGTAGGTTAACATAAAGGAAGATATTTAATAAACTTACCATAATAGTTGTGGTCCAATGACTGTTTTGGCAAAAAATGAGGAGGATGGTAACCAAGAAACACTGAATTAGGCGAATTTAAAATTTCTGTTCAACTCTAGGCTCACAAAAGCACTCATGTATCTTGTTAAGTGGTAAATGTCCACCCTGTTTCCATTCCCCGAATGTGTGTGTATTTATTGACAAACACTTTGCAGAACAAAGTTGGTGTCTGATGTATAGCTAATAGTGTGTGGCAGGGCACAAATGTGGTCCGATCTCTTTAAGGAAATTCTGGCTGCAGTTACATATAGTTTGCTAATTTCCCTTTACAGTGTTTTGTTTTTTCCTGTTACGTCAAATATAGTGAAATGGGGACAAATACCTTTGCTTTGGTGTAATTAAAATGAAATTATGTCAGGAACATCTGTTTGAAAGGGGATTTCTATTTGTTTTACGACCAAAAGGTGGCGTCCTACCCCCATGCCCTTTATTTAAAAAACCCTTCTTGCTTTAATTTAACAAAAAGAAACTTCCAGTTGATTACAGATAAAGAAATTAAAATGTGCTCCCTATGAATGTAACGTGACAGTGTTGAAAATGAACAATATGTTAAAGCTGCAGCTAAGTTTCCCCCTAATGTAAGCCAAATGGACACGGAGTTCTTTAATAAGGTGGCACATTAGACAGTATTATATACAAAATTGAGTACAATATATCATGGGATTTACAACCAGGATTTCCTTTTGTCTGCAAAACTTGTTGCCAATCTGACTTTGGGCCCCTCTTTCAAGTGAACGTAGAATTTAAGGCAGTTAAAATACAGAATAAGATCAGTAGCAACCTAAAGATCTTTTTAATATGGCAATACTCACAATTTTTTTTAAAGCTCACCATACAATCTGGAAAACAGGATCAGAGCATGAATTGTTCTTTACAGACTATGAATAAATTTGTCTCATTTAAATAAATTGCTATTTCCCTGAGTTATAATTCTGCAACTCAACACACACCATAACCATGTTGTATCTGGTATAAACATTTTGGAAATGGAAAACAGTTTTCTCTGCCATAGACTGGCTACTTTGTAGATTTCCACTTAATTTCATGTGAGTTCAGCATATGGAATTTCCAGAGATGTTAAAGGATTGTTGCAACTATGAATTGACTTGACCTAAAGTTTTCATCAGTGCCTAGGTCATAGAAAGCATTCAATAAATATTAGATATTATTACTGACAGTTGTAGACTGTGAGCTCCTCAAAGGCAGGGGTTTTAATTTTGCAGTCTTCATTGTCTACTATATGGTCTAGAACATAGACGGTATGTCAAAATGTCTGATGTCTTGAATCAAAGATTAATAGGAACCCTAGTCTCTAGAAAGCTAGGAAGTTCTACACAAACTAAAATGCATTTTCTTCATCTAGACTCTAGTCTAAAAGATCCAATAGATGGTCTTGTCTGGATAGCATAGAATCTTGTATAGCATGCATTCAACGTGAATTTTATGATGGAATTACCTTAGCACAGTCTCCCTTTCTCTGGCTTTATACTGTAGCACTGGTGAATGGCTTTATTTTTTTGCTTGCAAAACAGATACAATTTTAAAGTGGTAGTCTTACACTATTATTGCAATAGAGATTTAGAATTCTTCTGTAAATGAATGTGTAACGATATTTGTAATAAGACATTATCCATAAGAATTTATAATAACCTTTTCAGGATGTTTATTATCTACAATTGTGCTGGTCTCAAGGAATGGAACAGAACTTGCCCCCTCCTCCCCCAAAGGTACTTTGTAGGAATCCACAGGAGTGGCTTTCAATACATTCTCATTAAGAGTTGGCCTGATACACCAGCCAGCCAGTAGCTGGAAATGCTGGCTTAGGAGTTTGGCAGCTTCTGGGGTGACAGGTCTGAAAAAAATTATTTCTGTTAACAACAACAAGCCATAGAACCCTATATCTCCTTCTAAGTCACATTTTGGAAACAAGAAGTCTTCCTTCTCAATTTGTGTTGTTAAAGAGAAAAGAGATACCAGTGTCTTGTTTTTATACAAATATATGTATATTTTAAAACATTTCATTCAGACTTCTAATTTACTTCTTCAAATTTCTAAATTCCACCAAACTTCAAAACAGCAAAAAGAAAAAAAAATCTCACCTTTTCAAAGAATTGGACAGAGTTTTTTGCATGTGACTGATCTCTGGAAGAGCAGGTAATTTGTGTTAAACAACTGATTGACATGCTAGCCCCTGGGCGTTTTCCTAAGAGAAACCGTGGCAAGAACACAGCTCCTGATGCGGCAGCCACTTTCCCCCCAAAGTGGATCAAACTACACATTCCAGCAGTGAGTCTGACAAGGAAGTGGGGGGGGGGGGAGCTCGTCCCACATTACATTCTCCCGATATAGGAATACAGGGGGTAAACCCCATCGCTGGCGGGTTTCTGTTTCCCTGCAAAGAGGGGTTTGTCCTTCTGTTGAACTTTCACCTCCCGAACTCGCCTTCTTTCATTGGACAAAGTGCAGAAAGAAAGAGGAGAGACCCAGGGAAGACGGGAGAGAGGGAGAAAGGGGGCTGAAAACACCACCCCCACCTCCCCCTCCTTCAACTGTCACTGATGGCAAAACACTTTCACTTTTAACTGGAGGAAACTCACATCCTTGCCTACCCTCTCTCTTTCCTTCTGTATTTTTAGCTCAGAAACCAAGCAAATAGCCATCGCATTCCTATCTTCGTCCCTAGTTGTTAACACTCTCCCTCTCCTTTTTTTCCGGTGGCTGAATGGGCCCCCCATTTCCCCATCTTCTGAGGAATCCTCCCCTCCCCCATGCCCCTTATTTTTCCAGGTCTTTCTTGCCAGATCCCTCTTTTGCCAGGGACTGCTCTGGCGTTCCCTTCCTCTCTCTAGTCTGCAGGGCTCTGCCTCCCTCTCCCCTTCCCCATCCAGTCTGGACGCCCCTCACTCCCATCTCCCGAGAACCGCCCCCCCCTCCGTCCAGGCTGCCCCCTCCCCCCCAGCTTGGCAATTGCGTTTTTTTTTTTTTTTTTTTTTTTTTGCTGCGAGCCTTGTTGTTTACCCAGCAGGTGGATGTGACGTCAGGGACGCACAACAGCAAAAAATAACAACATCTCCCTCCGCGACGTGTTGGCCTCTCTCGCGCGCCTTATTTATTTATTTGTTCCGGGAGGCCGGGGGGAGCCGGGTGGGCGCCAGTACCCGTGTGGCCCAGGGAGGGGGCGCAGCGGCTCGCGCTCTGGGGGTGCGCGGGGCCTTGGGGGCGCGTGAGGCGGAGAGGGGGCCCTGGCAAGAGGCCGGGAGGCCGGCTGGGGAGCGCCCCCAGGCCGGCGCTCCCCGCGCCTCTGCCGCCGCCGCCGCCACTGGCGCTGGCTGGGCTCCGGGAAGCTAGTCCGGAGCGGAGGAATCTATTGTTATTTATTGTGTGGCGGTTGCATGCTGTACTCGCGGTGGCCCGGCCCTCGTCCGGGAGTGCGTGTGTGCGCGCGTGTGTGCGCGAGTGAGTGTGTGCGCGGGGGTGCGCGCGCGGGCGGGAGTGGGCGCGCGCGGGGGAAAGGCCCGAAAACACCTTAGTTTGCACCGAGAGACCATTTGCAGCGGGTGAGTTTGTATTTTTCCATTTCTGCTCCACTTTTTCCCAAGCTGCCTCCTGCCTTGTTTCCGCCACTTTAAACAACAACAACAACCAGCACAAAAAAAAAAAAAAAAAAAAAAAAGGAAAAAGAAAAAAAGGAAAAAAAAAACTACTTTCCACCTCCAGGCTCCACGTGCATCTCCCCCCCCCTCCCCCAGCCCTCCCCTCTCGCCTCTCTCCCCCGGCCCGGGCCCAGGCTCTGGGGTGGGGTGGGGGTTGGGGCCGGCGCGGGGGTGGGGGGGCCGCCGGCGGTGGCGGCGCCCGCAAGCTTGGGTCCATTTCCATAAGTCAAATGAAGGGGGGGGCGCGGCGGCAGGAGAGAGGCGAAATCGTCTTCCCCTCGGCCCCTTCACTCCTGGCTCTGCGCTCTGGGCGATCGCCGCGGGGAGAGAAATCAATAAGCCCAGGCCGCCTGGCTCAACTTTCGGTGTCGGGCGTCGGGGTGCCGGCAGAGAAGCGGGGCCGGCGCGGGGCCGGGGTCGAGTCTGCGGCGGGAGGGGGCGCGCGCCGGGAGCCTCGGGAGCCTGAAGTTTGGACTCGGAGCAAACTTTTTCCCTTCGCTCTCCGAGAGTGTGTGCCCCTTGATGTCCCTGGTTTGTAATGATGGGAAGCCCGCATCCTGGGCCCCGCGCATCGAGACATCCCCAGTGCCACACGCGCCTGGCCCCGAACCCAGCGACGGGGACAGCTCACCGCCGCCCCCGGAGCACAGAAAACTCGGACACACACTCGCGCACCCCCAGCTAGACACGCACCCTCACGCGCGCTGGACCCCGGGAACCCAGCCTCGCCGCGGACCGGCCCGCGACATACGTGGCCAGCTCCGCGGGTGGGAGTGGGAACGGGGTGCGCTGCGGGGAATCGCTGCGTCGGGTCTCCTCCCCTCCACCACACGCACTTTCGGGGTTTCCTCTCCTTCGAAGCTTGGGGGGTACCGGGGAGGTTTCCCAAGCCTGGATCTCTCCTGAGACGCGCGGGAGCCGCCGCGTCTCTGTGGCCCTGTCCCGGCGGCCGATGGCTCTCCATCCCTGGCCAGCACGCCACCTTCCTCCCGAGCTCCCCGCGCTCCATCCCCATCCCGCGGAGGACTCAGCTGGGCCGACAGCCGGGACTGCGTGCGCTTCGGGTGGGGACGGCGGCGGCAGCAGCAGCAGCGCCGGGAGCTGAGAGTTTGCCAGTTGCCTCGGGGTCGCGGTCATTCGCTGCCTCCGCCTCCCTTCTCCCCCGCCTCTCGGCCCCCCCCCCCCCCCCCCCCCCGCCCCCCGCCCCCCCACGGGCGTTTCTGTCCGATCGTGCGCCAACAGGGCGCACCGGGGCCTCGCCC